CAAAATGCAAAAAACCAATTATTTCAAAGAAAATTTAATCCTCAGCGTGGAACTCAAGCTCTAAATGGAAAATTTTTTGGCCCCCCAGTAGGTGGAATTTTTCCTCAATATAAAGAAATAATACAAAAGAATTTACATAGTTGAAACTAGCTGGTTTTAAGCGGATTTTCAGTTTTTTAGAGCTTTGAAGGTTCGCTCCCTATAAGAACCTGTACAGAGTTTTTCTTCTTTCGACCATAAATCGTTCGGGGTATTTTTGCCGAAACAAACCAATTCACTTGGACATGCATTTTGTGCATATCTATATATTTATTTGAAAATAAAGTTTAAATTTTTTGGCCGAATTTTCATCGGTCAATTGCTTGCGGTTATGGACGATTTTCCCATTTTTTTCTCCTCAATCAAGCTTTTTATGGGATTTTTTTTCTCCCAAACGAAGTTTTCCTCAAGAAAAGTTATTAAAAAAATATGTCGAATCGCTCAAAAGCTGTTTATCCGGAGTTTTCCAAAAGTCTCAGAATAAACGCTTTTCGCAAAAATGCCCAAAACTGGATTTGAGAAAAAATAATATCTGCAAAAGTGACAAGGATAGAAGAATTCTGAGTGCGCCACTGGATAGAGGGGGGCAATTTCCATGAAAAAGTTTGAAATGAGGATTTTTTTAGTGGGTTTCGGTTGAGTCTTCTTCACTTCTTTCACACGTGAATCGTCCGGATTTTTTCACGTAACAAACCCACTCACTGTGAGATTAATTTTGCCCCTATGGAATAACGGCATTCGCTGCAAAAACCCGCAAAATTTTGATCGATTTTCACATTTATTTTGTTCTCGACAACGAAATTTTGCAGCAAAAATCTGGCTTTCAGTAAAATCTCGATCCTGTCCAAGGCTGCCCAGATAACAGCTATTTTTCCAGTTGGTTCAGGAACAAAAACAGAAAAACTGCGAAAACTTAGAATTTCTGCTTTTCCTTGAAATCCATAATAAACAACATAGAATACGCGAAATTGAGGCAAGTTTTGAGGCTTTATTGTTGGTTACATTCATTTGCTGAAAACTTTACTCAAATTACAGAGACAGTAAAGCGCTCTAGCATTACAGCCTCAGCTTCCACCACTCATCTTCTTCTGAACGTCCACCTTCCTTTTCCCAGATCAGATCATTGGCTTGCAGCAGTTCATCCAATTTCCCTTTTACTCCTGCAGCATGTTCTGAATTTCGCTAAAGCTTTTGCCTTTCGTCTCCGGAACCCACAGAACATCAAACAGCACCGTAAACAAGCAGCAGGCACCAAACATCCAAAAAGTGGCAGCTCGACCGACAGCATTCGTCAAACTGCTGAAGAACTTCGTGACAACAAAAGCGGTCATCCAAGACAAGCCAGCAACTGCTGAAGCTGAAACTGGCTTCACGTTGTTGGGGAACAGTTCCGAGCTGATGGTCCATGGGAGGGCGGCAAAGCCCAAGTTGAAGAAGAAAATGTAGCTGATGAGGCCCGCGATGGGCAGCCAGGAGAGCGACGCCGCGTCCAAAGAAGTGCTGTCCTTGATGTAGAAGAAAGCGCCGAGGGCCAGAAGGGACAAGGCGTCGCCCAGGCAGGAGATTGCCAGCGGCCACTTTTTGCCTGCCCTTTCGATGATGAATGTGGTGGGGAAGCTGAACAGGAACATGCAGGCGCCGCAGATTGTCGAGGAAACTGAGGCGGAAAAGTCGGAGCCGGTGGCTTGGAATATCGGCTCCAAATAGGAGTCAACAGCGGCAATTCCAGAAAATTGCTGTAAAACAATCAAAGCTAGTGAGATGAGGAGCGCCTTCCGCAAGCCGGGGTTTTTCACTATATCCGCCAGGCTTCCGGTTTCATCCTCATGGGCGCCTTTTAAAATCTTCACTTCTTTCTCCGCGCTTTCCCTACTGCAAGACCGCAGGTGGGCGATGGTGTCGGCAGCCTGGGCATCGCGCCCCACTTGCACCAAATAATGCGGCGTTTCGCACCCGACTAGGAGAAAACACGCCAAAAAAACACACGGTATCCCGGCTAGGATCAAGTTGAAAACCCGCACCTCCAAGTAGGGCCCAATGGCGAAGGGAATAAAATTCCCCAGGGTCCAGAAAATGTTCAGAGTCACCGATAGGGCCGCCCGGTTGGAATCATCGGTGATTTCAGCCAAGTACATGGGCAGAATCGCATAACCAGCCCCTTCAGAAATCCCGTTAATGAACCTCCCCAGATAAAACAGGTAGATGCTGTCAGCAAACGCGTAGATCAAATAGGCGACCAGGTGGGGCACGGCCAGGCCAATCAGGGTGAATTTGCGGCCGATTTTGTCCGCTACAAATCCACATGGGAGCGCCCCCACTATGGCCCCAATGTTGATCAGGCTGCCTATCCAGGAATATTCATCCTCAGTGATTGGCCTCCCTAGCGGATTCACGGAGGAGTCGTTTGAGATGAGTTTGGGGTACATTGGGGATGACCAGGTTACTGTTATGTCCCCACATGTGGCCAGCAGGTCCACTGAAAAAGCCCCATGGGTTGGCAAGGAAGAGGAAGCTTTAAACCACTTACCAACTAAGACTGTGATTAAAGTGTTACTGACTTTGACCATTTTTGTTTGCTTGGCACTCAGACAGCCACAGTAGCGTGCCACGTTACTTAATCTGCGTATCGTTAGGGCAAACAGCTAGTAGCCAAATTTGATAATAATTTATTTATCTTTGAGGACTCACTTCAGCTTACAATGGCCCACACACACACACACACACAATAATCAACATTAATCGGCAAGTTTTGAGGAGTTTTCACTTATCATTCTGTATAGGCAAATGGCAACAAACCGCAGGTTTTTGATCGAAATACTTTACACCAGACACGATTTTACATGGGAGTGGCAGTCAATTTTTAGTCAACAAAGTCCCAGAAATGCTTCGCAGTCGGCCCCTTTTGTAGCCTTGTTGCATGAACAATGGCCCTAGAAAGGGCTTTTTAATTAGCACACAAGGCTGTATGAAATTGCGCTCCTGTAAGCTGCAAAGGATAAAAGGACTTTGATTGGCTGTTGAATAAATCCCCAGCTAAAAGCGAGCTTAATTTGATCCTGCGATGGCTCGACCTTCAGGCACGACACTGTGCAGGGCAAAATTGCAGTTTATTTGAGTTTTTCTCGACCGCAATGTTGAAATTTTGAGACGCAAAGAGTAACTTTTTTCGATGGAGAGCTTTACTTCCGAGGCAAAAAATGGAAATGTGGCAATCAAGCGAAATCCTAACGTTAGACTGGAGCAGTTTTTCCGCTTAAAACACACTTTTTTCGGATTTGTTCCTTTTCACAATGTTTCATGAGAGTCTTGCCCCAATTTTGCTTATTTTAAACGCACCTTATTCCAGAAAATGTTCCTTGTTCTTAGTTTGCCGGACATTTTTTGAAGAGAGAACTTTTTCCCACAAAAAGCTTCATTTTCGAAAAAAAAATGTGAAGATAGAGCCAGATGTTTGCGCTCCAGATGAGCACAATACATAGAGAAGTGAGCTGGTCTGCTCCGAAAATAGCTTTCTCTAAATCTAAAACCTCGTTTATTAGGGATTTTAGAGAAAAAGAAAATCCCAAGTTTTTTATACTGTCTGACCTCCTTGATCCTGCTGGACTCGAGATATCTAAACAATGTTTTTAGCATTTTTGAAAAATTGTTTACCGAACGCCTCTGGAAAAATTGCGAGCTGGTACTTTTAGGCATGCAAGACATTTTGTTAATAGCAACTTTTTTCCTTAAAATGCTCTATTTAACAGGAAAAATTTAAAATGTGAAAAATGTTTTGGGCTTTCATATGGGAAAAGTTAATTCAAAACAGAGTTAGTTTCCTCCAAGAAAAAATTGGCCTCAATTCCACTTTAAATTAAAATTTATCATATTTTGACAAATTTGCTGAGAATCCGAAAGAAAACCGCAAAAACGCCAGCAACTCGCTCAGAAAAACTGCGTTAATGACGCTGTTTAACCTTCTCGATCCAATGGTTTGCCTCAAAATTTCTCCGTTCGTTTTTGCAAAAACTTCGGAAAAAATCTTGCTCAGATACATTGAGACATTCCGGACGTTTTATGAAGGGCAAGTTTTTCCTGTAGCAAAGTTCGTTTCCGGGAAAACAATAAAATGTGAAAATCGAACAAAATGCATCCGAACATTTTTGGATCAACAAACAAACATTTTCTTCTCCAGATTTTTCGGTCTCAGGGAGTCTCATATGCAAAAAATAGATGCAAAACGCAGTTGGTTTTCGCCGGACAAAAACTTACTCAAATTTACTTGTTTAAAATTCACCATATTTCAAAAAACTTCCTTCAGAATTCGCTCTAAAATCACAAAATTGACGATTTAGTAGCTCGCTTGTTATGGATTTAAAAATGGATTTAGCCTTTTGCTCGATTTTCATACAAATTTCAACTTTAGATGTTGGATAGAAAATCAGCAGCTTCTCATGTCTAATCTTCCCATGATCTTTTCCTAGGCCTTGTAAGATGCTATTTCTGTAGATAAGTTCTATATTGTTGAGGCGGATTCATTTTTTACAAACTTCTTTTTGGGTATTTTGCCTCAAAGACAGAATTTCCTCACGACTTTTATTACAGATTGATAAATAGTGCTCCTATTTCGCAATAAGAACGAAACTTTGAAGGGTTTGAAATATTAGCAGTTTCCTTTCATTATTTGTTTTTTTTTTGCAAAATTCTCTCAGGATTTTGTGTCTGATTTGGAGTTTTTCTAGGGCTTTTGAGTGTTGTTGTTTTCAGGCTTCAGACGGTTTTAAACGATCAGTACTCAACTAAATCATGAATTCGAAATTTTTGTTCCAAATATTTCCTGGCGTTCTTTCCATAGGCTCCAAAAATGTAAAAAAATCAGCATATCAATGGAATTAACTGATTTTTTTCGGAAATATTTCGATAAATTTTTTATGCGCGCTCTTAAAATTTTAATTTAATTTTATATCTGGTTGGAGATTATTTTCCTGGCGCTTTAAATGCTCTCTAAAGGGTGTCTTTTGCTATGCGCTGTGAAAATTGCATATTGATTGTGTGCCTCTATGGCAAAGAAAACAATATTTTTGGCATTTTCCCTAAAACTCTTGAAGGTAGATGGCAGAACGAGTCCATATTTGATACCTCGGCACATTTTCTCACGAGCATCTTGTTTTAATGGGAAGCTCGGTTTGTGAAAAAAAGCAAAAGTAGCGCAAAATTGAGCCCGAAAATCACATAAACTGCATAAAACAATAAGGGACTTCCCAGGGCCAATAAACTCCCTATTTCCCCCCATTTCCCGAATCCAACGCATTCTCCCAGGCTTCTGCAATAATTTTACGTAATATCGCTACCATTGACTGAATGCAAGCAGGAGTAAATTACTCCACCCTAAAGCAGTCCAATATTTTGCAGGCCTCGTTTTCCTGCAGTACCGCAACGAGACCAAGCGCGCCCTTTTGCCCAACGAGATCACCTCAATCGACACCGTGAAGGCTCTGTTTGTGCGATCGTTCCCCAAACAGCTCACCATGGAGTACTTGGACTCGCCCAACGTGAAGATCTACATCCACGACCCCTCAAAGGACATGTTCTATGAACTGGAGGACTTGAGGTATAAAACAACTTGAGGGAGTTGAGGAATAGTGAAAGAAGCCTTTGGTTCAGGTCGCACTTGAGGGAGATCAGGGATAGATCAGTGCTGAAGCTGTTTGAATCGGCCGATGTATCAGGAGGACTGCCTTCGGCAGGCATCGGAATTGCTGGCGGCGTTCATTTTGAGGATCCCAGCTACTTTTCTGAGCCGGAATTCGACTCCGAGTACCAACATCAGCATATCCACAAGAGCAAGGTAAGGTTTTTGCGAATATTCTACAGAAATAATCTCTAAGTTCAGCGCACTGCTTTTTGAAAAAAAAGACCAGTTTTACTTGAAAATACTTCTGATACTGTATATCGGAGATATGGTTATTAAAGGGTGAAATTTATGGAAATCCGGCTGCGCCTATTCAATCAAACAAAAGCAATTATGCCTCTATAGCCAATAATCCAGTTAGTCTGCATTCAAAAGGGCGCCGACTGGAATTTCGCAGCGTTTCCGAAGGAAAATCGAGTTTCTTCTGCGAATCGGACATAATTCCCATTCGACGGGCCAAGTTATAATTAAAACCCCGATTTGCGCCAAATTTGATTGGATTTTCCCCATGATGAGCGGCTTTTTGCACCTTTTGCTTTTACAGATTTTAATTCCATGTGCATTTTTTTTTTGATTAATTAGAAGCATCTTCAAAGGTTTGCTTTGGAACTGCTTGGGCATTTTCTGGCCGGGACAGTGAGGTTCAATCTATCTATATTTTCATGTTATTTATGCGGGTCAAACGTTTGACGCTTCTTTCCCAGGTAAAACTAGAAAGTTTATGGCATTCTTTTTATACATTTGCAAAATTGCGGCTAATTTATCAGGTGATTTTTGCAGGCTGGTGTTTGGCATTAATTTATTGAGGATGAATGCAGTGAGTGAGTCGCTTTTGAGTATAATTTTTTAGGACAAAATCTATTCTACTTTGAGTTTTTCAAAATCGCGTCTGGTTTTTATGGTGGATTGTTCAGGCCGGCGCTTAGCATTTATTTCGTCTGCAACTTGTAAAATTAGCAAATCAATTGTGACTGCAATTTATAGGAAAACTTCCTTTCTATAACTGAGCAAAGTTTTCATTTTCAGTCATAATCAAGCAATTTATAACAATTTTGTCAAGTTGCGTCTGATTTACGAGGTTGTTTTTGCAGGACATTTTTTTATTCCAGATCTAAAGCAGCCAGATAGTCGCTTTTGAA